AGAAGGGAAGGAGCTAGGACAGCAGAGGAAGGTGGGTGGGGAGGGGCACCAGGGAGCAGATGGAGCAAGGACAGGGTGGGAGACATGTCAGCAGAGGGGAAAGGGGAAAGGTTTATAAGATATAAGATATGTATTATTAATTTGGGTGCTACAGTGGCACCCATCCGAACAAGCGCACACGATCTCAATATTGGTGCACAAGACAAAACGCACTCTGCTCATGGATGGAAAATCTTAGAGGGATCACTAGTCCTGACCCACACTTTGCTGGATTAGGCCATGCCCAGTGTAGCCAAAGGCCGCCTTAGCCTCTTGCAGACTGGAACTGCTGCACAGAAAGCACCCTCAGCCACTTAAGTGCCCTTCTCAAGGCAAGCAGGCACACATGGTCACTGACCACTTACCACACTAGTAGACAAATTCTCTCTGCTTTCCAACGTATTCATGGCAGCCACATGGTTTTCTAACAATGTAACCCTTCGACTTATATTACTGATTGCTGTATCCACACTTAGAAGCTTTAGATCATTGAGCTTCTGATACACCACTAAGGAAGCATTTATCTCTTCTACCATGGCATGCAGGAACAGATTATCCTGAAATAAAAAGAGAGCGAGTAGTGTTATCCAACTATGACTGTTCAGAAACACAGCCACAGCATTATTTCAGTTAAGGAAACAGAGACTGGCTCAATTCAACCAAGTATCCTTCTCTGAAGGGCCTCAGAACCACCCACACTGCTTTGTAGTTGGAACTGCCTGACAGGGAGGAAGGCTAGAATGAGTCACTTTAGCCTTTGTTTGAAAATGCGATTTCCTACTGCTAAAACTCATTGCTGCCAATGAATACTCTGATTATAACAGGCACCATGGTGTTAACTGAAGGATCCATTGACCTAATGTTTCAACGCAAATCCTTAGGCACAATACCAATTACTTGTGTTAGCCAAAAACACAGACAATGCTCATAGTTGAAGTTGGCATAGTTTGTATTAAAAATACACACACTAATTTCCCTCCCACTCCTGCTATTTCTGTCTAATCATATGTACAAATCACTTTTTTCTAAGCCCTATTTCTGTACTTTACCACCTTCAAAATGACTCACCACCTGCCTCTCCCTCTTTTGCTCAAGCTGACAGGCAAGTACCTGACAATACAGCCAGGTTCTATTTCAAATCATTAGTCATACTTCTACTACAAGCTACACCTAACTTTTTTCAACCACCAGTTACTAAGCCTTCGCAGTCCACTCTCTTGCACTGTATTCCTAGTAAAGCTATGAAAAATGCCATTTTAGGAGGCACTATAAAAATCCACCTAGAGTTACATGCAGAAATACTACTATGGGAAAACATTACAGGAGTATCATTACAATCCAGCATTTGGCTCACATGGATTCTATTAAAATTCAATCTTGACACGAACATACTTCACAATAATGTACTACAATATTGAAGAGCACAAGAGAAAATATCAATTGTATTTGTACTAGTTGCAAGGTTTGCTGGCATGTAATGGCAAAGCAAGAAATACCTGTGTACAATTCTCGGTCTGATTTCTATTGGTAATTCTTGGACTGACAGTGCCGGAAAGTGAAGACAACTGTTTTTCGACATTTCCTTTGGTGTATTCATTCTGACAAAAAGAAGCAGAAGTTTCATAGATGCAGAAAAATATTTGTCAATGTAACTTGAGGCTAGACAAAGACTGTAGACATAACTTCCAATATTTTACTAAACTATTGGCAAGTTACACATTTTGAACCATATGTTGCTTGTGCGTGCAATATTAAGTATACTAGTACAAAATGCACAACTTCTATTTTATCAAACAGGTAGCGTCCAGACTGAAGTTTAATTAAAACAGTGGCCATATATTAGCAATTTTCCCTTTCACACACATATTTCAGTTAACAAAAATTAAGACCAAACTGCATAGTTTATTAGAATCAGCGCCAATGATTTTCCAATACATAGCACAAAGAACTGCTGGTTGTCAGTGTTGGAGAGTTAACCCTACTATAAAACAAAAACAGGATTGGCAGAATTGAACAAATCAATTAGCATTATGGTGTTTCTGAAGTGTTTCCTGCCATAGCAGGAGAAGTTAGTTTACAAACATCCATTCCCACTGTGGCAGGAAGACTGAACGTTAACAATAAATTGAGATTTCAGATAGTTGAACCTTTAGAGTTTCAGCTGATATTAGTGAACCTGTATTTCCAGTGTATGCCTCTTGATTTGGACTAGAGGCTCATTCATCGCAGCACACGCCCAGCACCACCACAATCCCTCCCACCCTTGTTCTTAAGTTGTTGTGCAGAGAGCCACAACAAACTGTACTCTGCAGCATGTTGGTGGAATAGAGCCTTGCTGAGACTTCACACCTACACAATAGATAACTGGTATTTCTGGTCTTGCAAACCTATGGAGGGAACAGAGATTTTGGCTTCAAGGAAATATGCTCTGATTTCTGCACAGTGGGTGTCATATGAAGATTATTAGCTATTATATTATACCAGCTAGCATCTTGCAGAGATCTTTAAATATTCATTATTTTCCAGGTTACACAGCACTTCGTATAGTTCACATTAAGCTTTACTACACATTATTTAGCTAATATTTAATTCTTCAATCGGAATTGTCCTTACCATGTCATTCTGGAGTCTCTCTGTGATTTTCTTGTGTTCTTCCATTGCCGTCTGCATAGCCTCAACATCATGGGCAACACTGGTTAGAGTACTACCTATGGTAGCTACGCTCTGGAAACAGAAATAGCCCCATAAATTCCAGCTATGCTCAACTGCAGAATCGGAAAGACTGATTTGCAAACCAATCTTTTGTTAACGAAACGCCATGCAGCCAGATTGCCAGAAACCTGTGGACGTGATGAACTGAAGGATTCGGATGTGCGTCTACAGTGCACAGCCATCATTCTATCCTTATTCTTTGCTCAAAATGTTTTGATGCAAACCAGGAAGATGAACATAACCTCCATGCACATGCTTTCTTTCACTTTTCACCTGGATAACTTAAGGGGATATACAGGACATGGTCCTCCTCAGCTATCTAAGTATTCTTGGGCTGTTCAACGGTACTTACATGAAAAGTGATGTGTAATTTTGTTGTGTGAAGTTTTAATGTCAGCATCCTTACACTAAATATGAACCACTAATCTTGGCTTTTAAGCCCCACCATGGCCTTTTCTCCCTCGTACTCTATTAAGATGTTGCCCCATCTCCATTCTGCCAATGACCCTAGTGTTTATCACCCATTGTTTTATTTACAAATAAGCATCTTCATGTTTCTCCCAGGTAGCTCCTCATGCATTGGAGAAGCTTCCCATAAACATCCACTAAGGCACCTCATTATCCTCCTTCCACTCTCAGGAAACTTGGCAATGGTGAATCAACAAGTGTGCTGAGTCCACTGCTTTTGATAATGAGCAGTTCACCAGTCAGTTTCCTTGTACACAGCCTTCTGCAGTCACCTGCTGTCTCTTATCTTACATAGATTGTAAGGCCCTTCCCTAAGGAGCTGTTTTATGTTTGTACAGTGTCTAGCACAGTGAAATCCTGATACTCAACTGGGGTTTTTAGGTGCTACTGCAATATAAGCATACCCCTCAACTGTCTGTTCCATTTTAACACTTCTCCTCCACAATCAGTATGAACATAAGCTATGCAAATCCACTTTCTTGTCCAACCCAAACAGGGATAAGCACACTCCCTCCATTTCCTCCTCTTGTAAATAAATACCAGTACAAGTACACAGTAGACATCCTCTCCACTCTTATGAAAATCAGGACCCCAGCTGTTCTGCAAAGCAACAATGTCTTTACCACTTGCCCTTCTGCAGGAGGAACCCTGATACAGTGAAAGTATTCTTCAGGCTTGTTTCACAGTATAAAATAGGCTCCCCATTATTGCAGTTAATGTCTCTGAAAGCAGAGGAAGCAGCTTAGCAATATTCTTAAATCCAGTTCAGGGGATAGTAGCAGTTTCCCTACCAAACAAGGCAACCCCCAAATACAAAATTAAGAAGCTCCACATATGCACTTCAATTCCACAAGAGCATTCAAAAACTATCTTACTACCGAATTACCATTGCAATCTCGAGTGAGCTAATGTGCTGCAATGTACGCACAGCAAGAGGTGAACACCAAGCTTCTAGGTTAAAATTTCACCACTTTTCTAGTTGTCCAACCTAAAAACTATTTAAACATGTTTTAACAACTCCCTGTAGTGTTTTCCAACACTCAACTTTATTTTTTTTAAGCAGAGGCATAACGTACTTGCTGACACGATCCCAGCTTTACTTCCACTGCACTACAGAAACCAAATGTAAGCGCGCAAACCAGACGATATCTGGGAGAAGATGGAAAATAGATGCCACTACTTCTAACACTTTTGCTTAGGATTGGAAATAGTGCCATCCACAAGCCCAGTTCAGCTTCTAAAATTTCACAGTACCGTACGCTAGGCCTTCAATTTTAGTGAGATGTGGCCAAAGATTACTTGTTTCTGTATGAAATTCAGCCTTTGCATGCTGGAACCTGCAAGCCCTACAGACCACAGTTTTATTATGAAGTTGGTGGTGACAGCAATAGGAAATCTGGGGAGGCTGCAATCTTCTGCTTTATACAAACTAGGTGCGGCCCCCAGGCTCCTGGAAAATTACTTTAAGACCTACCTTTGATATAACATCTACAAAACAGCCTCCTAATCATGGCAAAACAGGTAACAAGCCATGAATATTCTTCTCTTCTCCTTTCCCATTCCCTGCACTTAGTCTCTAGCGTCAATTAAAAACAGCCCCATCAATGTAACCAACCAACCATGCCGTGCCAATTCCTTATTTTATTATTTTCCTTGTATGTTGTATCCCCATCTCTGACTTTCACTCTTGTGTCTATAGACTGTAGAACCACCAGTTAGATACTATCAGCACGATGGGGTTTCAGCTCATTTGTAGCCTGTAGGTATTCCCGTACTATAAATATTTAATTATAAAAACAATGGCCAATGCAGACCGTCGAAAAACTAACCCAGAGAACAAGACCGCTCCTACTGAAAGAAAGTTCAGGTAAGGGGTGAGCCATAGAAACTGCCAGCAAAATCATTACTGAAGTCCATGTAGTTACACTGGCTTCCATCTAGTTCCATAGTGCCCAATCAGTTCTGAAGCAGTAGCTGCTATATAGCCAACTAGCCACACTATTCTGAAAGTGTAAATAATTTTGTAAGCCAACTAGCTACACTCAACCAGCCAAATGGCCATATGCAGCTAGTGTGTTGGACATCACAGATCTAGCTAGTCTTTCAAGAGCTTATCAATTGTTTGGAAATACTCTCTACATGCTGAACCCTGCTCCACAGGAACTCTGACCACAACAGTGGTACGTGCTTGTTACTTTTAAAGAGTTAAAAGCAGTGCAAATTTGCCTTGTATAATTCCAAAGACACTTTTACTCATCAATTTTAATTTTGACAGCTAATAGCTTTATAAAACCCATTGACAAAATGGCAGATAGGTAAGTTAGAAATTCTGATTAGTGTATGTGCACTAACCAATTTTCATAATAAATTTCACTATTCATATACTGAAAGTACAGTACCCTGAATGCTCCTAAATTGTTGCTTCAGTCTATTGGATAAATGACTCACCAAGTTTCTGCATTTCCCCGTTATTTCTGAAATGTAGGAAGGCTTTCTAAAAAAAGGATCTGTTTCCATTTGCTACCAAAGCAAGCTAAATGAAATACTGAATTAGGGTTTTAAGGCTTATAAAATAAAGCCAAGCATTCCATGTGCATCCGATGTGAATAGAGGAAGATTATCAACCCAAAAGCAAGACAATATATATAAAATCAACATAAGGATGTACCGTTTCATGGGAGATATATTTCTTGTTTTACCAATTAAAATTTGTCTAGAGAACTCTATCCATCATTCTAGTTTGCATTAAGTAAGGATCACTGCAAATGACACACAAGATGCTCCACTGAAATGAACACATGCTAACAGTATTGCATAGAGCAATGCTTTTCCAACTACGGGTCGCGACTTAGTACTGGGTCATAGAATGTCAGGCACTGGGTCTCCTTGCTGTAGGAGGATCAGGTGACCAGTGAGGGTGCAGGGTACCTGCCTGTTCTGTGCCCTAGAAGCAGTTGGCAGGAGGCCCAACTCCTAGGTGTGTGTGGAGGGGAGGGGGGGGAGATGTTCGGGGCTCCACACACTGCTCCAGGCACTAGCTCCGCACTCTCATTGGCTGCTTCTGGGGTGCAGCATGATCTGCAGTGCCAGGAGAGGCAGGAAGCTGCCTTAGCACTCCTGTTGCACCGCTGATCGGGAGCTGCTCAAGTAAGTCCCTCCTGCCCCAGCTCTGACCCCAAAGCCAGAGTCCCCTCCTCCACCTCAAAGCTCTCACCCTCAAGCCCACCCCAGAGCCCGCACTCTACTCAAATTATCTTGGGTCACAGGCATCAACAATATTCTTCAACTGGGTCATGAGAAAAAAAGTTTGAAAACCACTGTCAGAGGCATAAGATCTGAAAAGATTTTGGTAATGACTGGTGTTTGACTAGTTTCCAAATGTTTCTGCAATCAGCTACAGTTTATAGTTAGTCAGATGTTGACCAAAAGCCACATTTATAATAATTACCTTCTGAAGTTCCTCTACAGTAACAGGAAGAGTTATCAAATCAGAAGCTGACTTGATGTTGGCTTTGAGGTGATTTACTACCGATGTCAAAAACAATATCTAAAAACAGAGAAAAATACCTTGAAATAAAAATTAGTAAACACAGCAAGTTCTTGATCTGCCCCTACCTCCCATGACTGTTACTTTAATTTGTGACTGATAAACATAAGCAACTTCTTGAAGCCATGTGTTTTTCTTGGAAGTGCACACAATCCCTAGCACAATCAGTCTTCACTACCAGTGGATGCAGATGTTTCTAGAACTATTAATGCCTTCACATAAAACAAAAAGCAAGAATTTAATCAGCTTGGGCCCTGCAAGTCACAGGAAAGCATTTACCACAAACTTTAGAGCAGGGGTTGGGAACCTTTTCTGGGTCAGGGCTGCAAACAAGCGAGAAGTAAAAAAACAACAAAAAACCCCTCACTGATGTGGCCTGTCTGAGAAGGAGAAAGACATTCCTCCTATTATTCTCCCCATACCAGAGTCTTGGGGAGGCCCAGCCTAGTAGATTTTGTGTGCTCTAGCCCCTGGTGGGGCAGTCGAAGGACTGATGGGGCAGTGGGAAGACCCCAATGTGAAAATTATTTTATGAAAGTAGAACTAAGAATTTGTGCAAAATAATTCAGCTCAAAAATTAGTTACAAACAATGAAGCTGCTGAGTCACTGAAAAGATTAAATTATTCAAATGGGCTAATAAAATATCATCTATGCAAGATACAAAGTTTCCAATTAGCAAGTAAAAATATCCAGTGGTACTCACTTGCTAAATATGTCATTAAAAACCAGTTTACACTGCTCTACAGTTTAAGTGAACATGGGACAAAGTCCTTCAATTTGACAATCCAGTTGTTAGATAAACTCAACCTAGTCCTGTAAAACTATCTTCCCAAGCCCAAGAAAGGCTCAGATATTGGTTTAGCTATGGCTGGTTGTGTTGTAAATGAAGTAAAGCCCTTGTGTGTCTCCAAGTGGGAAGTCAGTATGTCAAACGAGCCTTAAGTGGCCAGCTATAAAATAACTGAAAACTTGGAAATGATTAGTGCCAAAGGGTCAGATCTGAAGGTATTTAGGTGTGGAGGGATACAGATAAAAGAGTCTAGATGGATATTTAAAATGTTAAAGATCCCAGTAGGCACTATAAGAATTTTAGGCACCCCAAATACATCTAAAAATCTGACTCAAAATGATGACTTTAGCCAATGTTAAATTCATTTTGAAAACAATTAATTCCATAGACTGAATCTAAATCTTTATCTTCCCAGCACAAAGCACCTTTATCTTCACTAAGATTCTTATTTGCCAGTTTTAATTAATAAGTTATAATTAAAATTAGATAAAACTCAAAGGCTCAGATCCTCATCGCATATAAAGTTGCTTAGTGTCATTGACTTCAATGGAAGTACAATTTATTCCTGCCGAGAATCTGACAAAGGCTTTTTTTTAGTATGTTTCATGCTAACAGAGGCAATGAGTTTTTTATTTGCCTTTGCAATATGATAAACTAGAAATAGATTGTGGTTTCTCTTCCACCTTCCCCCACACTCAAGGCTTTTGATGCAATTAGGAATGCTAATTTCCACCTCCAACAGCCTCCTAAGACATGGGGCTGCCTCATGTTAGGTATTTAGGGACAAGAGACAATTAACTCTGTCATAAAGGGTGTGTCTAAACGACACCCCTCTATCGGCAGAGGGATGTAAATTAGACACATCAAAAGTGCAAATGAAGCCGGGATTTAAAAATCCCGCGCTTCATGTGTATAAAGGCACCCGCCGCTTTTTTCCGAAACGGGGCTTTTCGAAAAAACCCGACAGTTTAGACGGGGCATTTTCGACCGAAATGCCCTATTTCAAAATATCCTGTACTCCTCAAAAAACGAAAGATCCTGTACCTCAAAAAATGAAGAGTACAGGATCTTTCGAAAAGGTCATTTCTGTTGAAAATGCCCCATCTAGACTGTCATTTTTTCCCCGAAAAGCCCCGTTTCAAAAAAAGCGGCGGCTGCCATCATGCAAATGAAGCACGGGATATTTAAATCCCGGCTTCATTTGTACTTTTGATGTGTCTGATTTACATCCCTCTGCCGACAGAGGGGTGTAGTACAGACTTACCCAAAGATGAATCAATATCAATTTTAAGACACCTCCTTTAAATCTTTTTCTCCCAGATGAATGATATTCAGTCACTATAATGTACTATGTTAGAAATGTTCAAAACTACCTAGGGCACTTTGCTGTACATGTGCCACAAAAAACCCAGGGAGTTATATATGAATCCCTTGGTCAGCTTTGGAAATTTCAACTTACATCTACATAACTTCATCCTAAGTCTTTAGAGAAGTGGTTGCTAGCATGTTTGTAAGTATCAGAGAGCTCATTTTCATTCCTACTTTCATGCCAAGTGTAAACACACAGTAAAGTCCAGAAGGCAGAGCTGCTTTAAAACACTGAAAATATTTCTCAACAACTCTGTCTATTCAGGCAGTCCTCAGGTTACATGGATCCGACTTACATCGAATCCCTACTTACAAACGGGGTGAGGCAACCCCGCACTAGCTGCTTCCCCCCAGCAGACCAGGGAGACGCGGAGCGGCTTTTCTCAGCAGACACCTCAGCTTGAGAATAAAGGACTGAGGGAAGTGAGGTGTGGGAGAATAAAACTGAGCTCTGGAGAAATGTTTGGCTAGAGTTTCCCCTACAATATGTACCAGTTCCGACTTACATACAAATTCAACTTAAGAACAAACCTACAGTCCCTATCTTGTACATAACCCGGGGACTGCCTGTATATATAAAAAAAACCTTTCCTGTGGGACAACAGAGTGACAACATGATGTTACTCTGTGTCCCACAGCCCCTCTCTCCACCCTCAGCCACCTTGTCTCCTCCTTCCTTGGTCCAGCAACCAGAGCCATGCAACCTCTCCCCTCGTGGGGTGGTGGAGAGGCCGGGGCTGGCTGCGCCCAGTGCGGGATGGAGGGGCTGGGAGGGAGGAGATGCCAGGCTGGAGGGGTGGGGGGAGGGGT